GCTGGATTTCTGAAAACTGCCATAACAGTATATTGATTTTTTTACATATTCGGAATCAGCATCGAAAACTGAGTCGATTCATGAATGTTTCGAATCTTTTCACGAACTTTTTCTTTCGCCGAAAAATTCACCCCTGGTCCTCCTATGAGGAAGAGATCAAAAAATAAAGTCAGTCAAAAAGTCACTTGGACAACGGAAATCGAGTTCGGAACTTCTAAAATGCTAGTAGAACATAAAATGGCAAAAGAATAAACAATAAAAACGGAGTTTTGGCAGCCTTCATTTTTTGACCTACCCTTCATGGAGACCAGGGGTGAATTTTTCGACGAAAAAAAAAGTTCGTGAAAAGATTCGAAACATACGTGATTCGACTCAGTTTTCAATGCGGATTCCGAATAATACAAAAAAAATCAATAGACTGTTATGGCAGTTTTCAGAAATCCAGCATGGTTTTTCAGAAATTCTCTAAAAAACCGATCTTCGAATGGTTTCTCAGAAAAGATTTTGCTTATGAAAATATGCTTCTAGATCTTGGCTATCCAACACTGAAAACCGCCGGTCTCTATCTTGTTCCTATCAAAAGTTATTCAAAAAGCATCTGACTGCCTTGAATTCTGGCGCCGATAGTAGTTCGAACTGACCGTTTAAGTTACTATTATTTTTCAGGCAGCGGTCATTGCATGGACATCTGAATTTATACCGAAATTGACCTACAAAATAATAGAAGGAAAAGGAACAAGTCTAGATGGTTATGTTAATTGGACACTTTCCTCGTTTTCTATCAGTGATTACAATAAAACAGGCACTCTGAATCCAAATATTCCATCAAATTTGACTTACTGTCGGTAAGAGAAATATTTTGATTTTTATTCGATTTTATCAATAAAGATTTTGTTGTCGTTTTAGTTATCGTGATTTTCGAGAATCAACTGGTCCTAATTATGATCACACATCACTCTATTGGCATACTATTTCTGCTCGTCTAGCTTTTATGATCATTTTTGAAAATGTTATCTATCTAATTGTTTATTTGGTTCAATTGATGGTTTCCGATGTATCAAGTCAAGTTCAAGAAGGTATCGATCGGCAACGTTATGGCGAACAGTCTCATCAAGATTCGTCTCCCAAGAATCCGTCTGCAGTGGAAGAAGCGATTCAAATAATGAAAACAAAAAGCGAAGCGACAGAAAAGTAAAATCAATCACTTGAATTATTTAAAAAAAACACATTTATCTCATTGTTAATTAAATATATATCTTACGCCGAAGCCAACGGAATAGTTTCACATGATGTTTGAGAATTTGAGCTGTTTCAGATACGTTATCTTCCTAGCAAACATGTTTATTACCCCGTTCGCTTCGACATGGAATTGACGACAGTTTATGTAATTTTCTAATAGCGAGAGTTCACTCATAAAAATACTGCAATACCGATTATACTTCTAGAAAAATCGTTTAATAGATTTTATACAAGATATTATTGACATACTGTTTCTAACGATTGTTTAAAAACTCTTTTGGGTTACATGAATCTCGGCCCAAGAAATTTTCGGCCCGCACTTTCGACCCGGGCCGAAAGTCATGAAGGACTTTCGGTCCCTGCCCAAATTCACCTCGTCAATCCCTTAAAAGAATCCATATGTCTATAACTAGTTGGTACACTTCGTAGTATTGAGTAGTACGTCGTAGTGCTCAGTAGTACATCGTACACTCTAAAAAAAGGTACTCTCGGAAATCTTTTTTTCCGCCGGTTTCCAAGAATGCTTTTCTTTTTAGAGTGTACGACGTAGTGCTGAGCAGTATGACGTGGTGCCCAGCACTACCGCGTACTGCTCAGCATTACGTCGTACTGCTCAGCACTACTAAATGCGCGAACTATTCATTGAAGGTGAACTTTTTTTAACGAATAGCAGTGAGATGAATTTCGTCCTGGACCGGATTTCCGGTGATATTTCGGCGCGGGCCGAGACGCCGCTGGACTTTGGGACCGGGCCGAAGTTCCGGGCCGAAAATTCCTTGGGCCGAAATTCTGGCCTTCCACTCTTTTCACCCATTATCAAAAATTCAGAACAGTGATAAAATTTGCACATTTTGGAAAAGAATAGGATAAAAGATCAACACTTGACTCATATCATTTAGCTTCATTTTTCTTGTAAAGATGACACAAGTAACTACTTTCTTTCAATTTTATGCTTTACTTAGAAATCAACCCAATGGAGATACTATCAATAACAATCTTTGAATGGATCACCGTGACCAATAAGCAAGAATAGGTCCTAATTTGATTGATGCCAGTTGATCATAGACATCTTTGTTTTTATGTTTGCGCTTTTTCAAATAAATTGAATTTTGGGTGTGAGTGTGCGCTATAAATTTTAAATATATTCTATTTTTCACAAAATCGACCTGAAAAAGGTTGGAGCATTTTCAAACTACTATGATTCATCGACCAAATTTTTAAATTCTTAAAAAATACTTGATTTTCTTAATAGTACAAGTTCAACTTGGTTTTCGAAAAAATTTGTTTTCCATGAGATCGAAAATCAAGCCTAGTTTTTATATAATATTCAGAAATCAATTTTGATTTAAAGGAAATCAATGCATGAATCACGACGTGTTTCTTACTAATATTTTAAAAAATTAGGCATGTAATATGTGATTTACGCAAGGGAATAAATTGATATTGAGATTATATTCAAATATCTATTATGTATTACTTTTAGTGAGGCTGTGAGTGTGCACGTTATTCTTTGTGAATTGCATCCACACTCACCCATATGAACATATATGATTCGTTTTCCATATTTATTAAGAAATTAAAAACGAATGATCATATGTTGTTAATCCTATTATTCTGATGTTACAATGTACCATAGGATTCTAAATAAAATAAAGAGTTTATGGTATCAGAGTAGTTTAAATGTTCTATTATTTGTATTCATTTCGAATTACTCGTCATCATATATTATCTTTTCAAAAGATTCCACTTAATGACGTTTATGACCAGAACTGAAACAAACGCCGTTTGTCGTGGAACGGTCATGATTCTAATCACACCAATTTATTTCGAAATATATCGAGATAATAGTGGTTATTAACAATCATCTTAGAAGTTGTTGGATATCTTTCTGCTTTTCATAAGCTTTTACTAAATTGATATTGATCGATATACAGTAATAGTTTCCGAATTTACCTGACGATGGTCCGTAAGTACGGCATGAAACGCGTCTTAAGTAGCTTGGATTCTAAAAACTTCAATTCTAAAAAACTTGATCTTTCATTACTTTTTCGAAAATAATAGTATGGATTCAAGTTTGTTTCTAATTATAATGAGAACTACAATTGAAACACCTACCATCTAACAATCCTCGTTGCTTACGTGAAATATCATAACATCATGGTTACTATATACACTCACCCCACATCCATTTCTGCACCTCGAATATGCGAGTTAGTTATTGTGAGGACAAAGTAGACTGTTATTCGGGTCACATAAAAGAGCATCCTCGGTAACCCCTAATCGGTTCGAACAATACTATGTTCTGTCTTTACAATAGAAGGAAAAATCCCACTATAATCTGATTGATTGTTGATCAACCAATCAGATTTTAGTAGAGTTTTTCTTTCTATTGTAAAGACAGAACATATTTTCTTCCGGCCGATCTGAAGTTATAAGGAGTGCTCTTTTATATGACCCGAATAATAGTATGCTTTGTCCTCACAAGGGTGACTCGCATATTTGAAGTCTCCCAAAGACAAAAGTAAGTACCTTTCTCTATGAGCTCGTTCTCCTCTTTGGTCTTATGATTAAACCTTCATTTATATATCTATGAATAGAGCGTAAGTTGAAATACTCATGTTTGTATGTAGTCGATTTTATTGACTTATTGTTTCAGATTTGTTCAATATATACAAAAATGTCTCATTTTCGTGATATTGAATGAACACAAATGATAATCTCTTGACGACAAAAAAAACAGCTGTTCCAACAAAGGACTACACTATTTTATAAGCATATATTTATTAAATAATTATATTACATAACGATATAGAACATAATAAGTTAGATACATAATATACAGAAAATTATTGATTGGCTGTCTTGTATTTCAGTTAAAGAATGAGAAATATAAGATTGTATGATTTTCTATAGTATATCATAACATGCATTATCCATTAATGTATTTAGCGGTGCTGTCGTTTTTGGTTGTTGTGCTGCTATGTACGTTTTTATCCAAGACCATACGTATTCTATTGCATTGAACTCGGATGAATAAGGAGGCGAGCTTCTAGGAGTTGAATGCCATTATCTTTAAGTCACGTGAGAATTTTTTGTGCTTTGTGATATGAAATATTAATGTCTCGGTAGAATTTATGTTTTCTTAATTTTGAAATATGTGGCCCAACATGAGTAGAAAGAAGATGACGATAAGTAGCTGAATCCATATATCCATCATATCTACTAAATGCTTTAAAATCCCAGTCAATAATACCACAAAGTTGTGCATGTGCTTTGATATTATCAACAGCATACGTGGGTCTTGGTTCACCAGGCTTACACCATGTGATAGTACCAACATCATTCATTGTAAATATCTTCTCATCGCTAAATAACCATCGTTTTATATCATTATTAGTATGTGCTTTCTAATTCACGACGATAACGATTGATTGTTCTCGGACTAACACGTTTACCAGTATTTTTGAACACTTCGTTTGCAAGAGTTGTTGCAGTAGCTGTTGGTTTTCTTCTGATTGCTTTATCCAATTTTTGCATTTCGACATTCGAGAAAGAACGGAAACGATCAGATCGTTTTCCCCCGGTTACTTCTCCTGTATTGTAGTAACGAGATAATATTTTTCTCACAGCACCAGTTGAACAATGATGCCTTGCTGCAATAGCTGCTATCTTCCTTCCATATCTTTCTCTTTCCATTATTATCTGAGCTCGTTCAATATCGTCAAAACGAGACATTTTTGTTGTTACATATTATCCATCGGTCACTACAGATATACATATATCTATGCTGTTGTCACATATCGTTCTTTTTCTTCCTGTTTCATATGTTCTTCCTCTTTTATTCGAAGCTGTCTATACATATATGTTTTTCTTCTCATTTGTCTTGTTCAATTGTCTATATATATATATTCTGTTCTATCGCATCCGAATTATTATCTTTTTCTGCCTACTTTCTCACGAAAAGAAGACATTTTTGCATATATCGAACAAATCTGGGACAATAAGCCAATAAAATCGACTGCGTATAAACATGAGTATTTCAACTTACGCTCTATTCGTAGATATATAAATGAAGGCTTAATCATAAGACCAAAGAGGAGAACGAGCTCATAGAAAAAGGTACTTACTTTTGTCTTTGGGGGAGTATGCTGATTGGAGCAAAATCATAATCATACTGTCGAATGTCTCGCTTGAGTAAGTTACCGGAAAGTTCTATCTTAATAAACAATTCTTTAAAATTTTGACCATTCTTTTGAATTTATCTCACAGTGAAACTCATCATTGGAATAGAAGTAAATCGAATACAGTGGAACGAATCTGTGCAATCCAGATATGAACATATAGCCAAACATTCCTGCAACAACCTCGAATATTCTCTTTTCTCCGATTTTAGTTAGGAAATCAAGAGTTTCGTCAATATTAGTGAATTTCTTTAACGAGTTGGTACTACATTGAAGTTCGCAGTTTAAATTCTGATAATCTACATTTGAACAATCATTGTCCGAATGTACATACAACCAAACAACAATAAAACTTTCCAAATTGTAAGTTCATTGATATCTTGAAAATCTACCGGATGGCATACAACCGATAATATCACTTCAGCAGTAAAATCTTTTCAGCAGTCTATCATAACAATTTGGACACTCGAATGATGAGAAAAACAGCATTGACTTCTGTGGTTTTGCAAGTCATTCTTAGTTGTCAGCAGTGGCTTCATTTTGAAGCATTCCAGATACATTCTATATGATGAAGTTTTACTGTCATTCGCTGAATACAGTATCATTCTCTACTCATATTGAGGTTGTAAATATTAGATAAGATATCAGAAAACACCAACAGCATCCATCTAGAGCAAAAAAGGAAAAAAACACGGGGCTGATGCTACTTTTTGGATTCAAAATAGCTGATGGTCGAGGAATGATTTCAATAAACGAATATCACTGATACTTTCGCGGTAAGATATAAAGGTATTATACACTTGTATGTTGAATCTTAAATGTATCATCGAGAAGTAAATCTGTTACTTTTCTTCTAGTAAACAGAACAAAACTGCTTCATATTCTCCGAATTGACATGAAATGTACTCATTAATTTCATATCCTGATCGATTCCTAATTATTTCATTCTCTCGACTCTTATTCAACGTATCGAAATGAAAACAACATACTTTTAGTGATAAGTCTTTTTTCATCACTTAAAAGAATTGTTTATTAGCAATAGTTCGGTCCTATTCACACCCACTGACATCCGCAGCAGAAGTCTGGCAGTCACAAAGACATTAAAAGCCCTCAGTCTCTTCGAAACAAAGATACTCTTTTAAACGTCAATTATTCGGTAATTGGCGCGCTCAGCTCTTAGGAATAAATCAAGAGTCGGCATATAGTCCATATTCGAAACAGGTACCACAGCGTGGATTCCCGCTTGATTCATTATTCTTTGTAAAGTTGGATCAGGCTTGGTAAGAGCTTGCTGAAAAATGGGAATCCATTGTTGCAAATTAGGATTTGTCATTGCAATGGGTGGGATAGGACATGGTCCAACAGATTCCACAATGCAAAGTCGGATGGCAAGAGTAGAATCCTTACGTCGTGCTTCAGCCAGAACGGCACTGTCAATTGCTGCACAATCGATCACTCCATCAAGCACAAACAGAATAGATTGTTGGTGAGAATCTGATGCCATAGTTCGATTGAAAAATGGAGCATTGTATCCTTCTTGCATGAGATGATGACGAAGCAAATGATGACCACTGTTCGAGCCGATGTCATTATAGCAGAACGATGCCCCTTCTAAATCCTTCAGATGTTGGTATTGACTACGATCCGATTGCACAATCACGTCAGCAAAATACACAGGTCGTCCATTTGATCGTGAGTCTTCGAGAATAGGAGCGCTGAATGCCGACAGATGTACGCCATCGTTCTGTAAGCGCACTAAAGGTAGTTCACAGATAAAAGCGATATCAATCTGTCCATTTCGTAGATCAGGGTCATCTAGAGCATCACATGGGCTCTGATCAAAGTTAGTGTCCGTCTGAAGAATATGGGCGAAACGTGATGCGATAGATTCGTAAAGGTAGAACATATTTGGCGCAAGGTAAGAACGCAGACGCAGTGGAACAGGGGAAAGTTGCTCAGACATTTGATAATCCTGAAAAACAAAACATCAATATACAGTATTTTCTGAGTGATTAATCTAACTTTTATGCTCTTGGGTTCGAAACGATAAATAATCGCTTTCTGTGAAGAAAATAGCAGTATTTTTTTCATCTTTTCCTCAATTTTCGAAGATATTTATCACAAGCTGAACCCAGTCATTATTTTATTATACACTGCAGTTGCACAACTGTTTCATTGAAAAATAAGGATGATTGGAATTTTTTTTGCCATAAACGCTATACTCACTACAAAAATTCTATCATATCATATATACTGTGTTGATTAATTGTATGACAACACAGTTGACTCACTCAGTGTTTTGTCGATGGCATATGCCACAACATGTTCGCTTCTTATCAGATATGTGAATTAAGCATTGACGAAACATGAAGATTTTATTCATTCTTTCTGATTCAATGCAAGGATAAAAACAAGATAAACATTCGCATGGCCATATTTGTCTCTTATTGACTTTCCTGCTTTCCCTGTTTGTCTCGAGCGTGAGTGTAGGTTTGGGTGTCCATGCTTGTTTGATGATCTACACTCACACGCTAATAAGAAGAAAATACATCTAGTTCGATTCGCGATCCTGCATGAAGAATATTCATTGAGAAATGTATCAGTAAGATCATTTTTGCGCATATGTATCTTCTTGAATCTTGCGCTATTGACTTACATGTGACAATAATTCGTCTTCACCGATATACATCTCATAAATACATCCTTAAAGTTAAGATCCACATGATTCTTGAAACAAATCATGTTGTCAGTCCAATTTGTTCAAAAGTAAAATGCTCAAATCGCTCCCGAGGACCAAATGATATTCTATGAGAATCATCTATAGTGTTTGCAAAACCACTAGACCTCTTAATTTTCACTACTATTCCCGTTGATTTCGTTCATTTTTGTTAGTTTTAGCATGAGTTGATAGCTCACAAACAACATTATGCATTAGTATTCTTTTAATATGTATTTTTCATTCATCTTCAGAAGGAAAATATAGTATATAAATCTTGAGGGTGTGGTTAGACGTGAATGAGTGAGTATTTGCTTTATCCACAGCCCACCCACATCCACTTCGGCAGATTAAGAAAGCTGTTGGCCTACTATAGATAGATCGGGGCCTGAAAAACTTGACCTGTTTGGACCTCTGGCACGAGTTATTTCATGAAGACATGATTTATTGAGCTCCTTACTTTCGCCGTCAAGTTTTGAGTCGATTTATCAAACAACATGCTGTTTCGATTTGTTATTTAAGGTTGAACATGAAAGGAGGGAGGCGGATAAGGCCATTTTCCCGCCCCCAACGAAATCCAGATTTTTTTATTGGAATGGAGTTAGGTGTGGGTCCTGATCATATTTATAGGTCCATTTTGCAACAGCGCGAAAAAAAGTTTTTGAAGCCTGTGGTCTCCCACAGGGATCTCTGGAAAACTGTTTATCTTGGATTCCGTTGAAACATATACTCGTTGATATAGTCAAGTGTGCTGATTACGAATATCAGTATATTGAGTACTCAAAGTTCGTTAATAGGCAAGAAAAACAATCCTTTTTCAGGTACTCATTGGGCTTTTTATCCAGCTTTTCGCCCACATATCTTCTCCGTTGTAGCGGCGTAACCAGGATTTCAGGCTAGGGGGGCTCAGCCCCGAACGTTTTTTAAAAGTACACAAAGCTAGTGTTAAATATTTTTCATTTGTTTCAGCAAAAAAGGGAACTAAGGCTCTGCTCTATATGAAGTATACGAGACCAGAGACCGAAAACGAGTCGAGTACTCGACAAATCGACTCGACTCGACTCGACTAAATGCCGAGTCGAGTCGAGTCGAGTTAAAGATTTTTCGAGATGTGTCGAGTCGAGTCGAGTCCAGTGATATCTACTCCCGAGTCGAGTCGAGTCGAGTTTGACTCCATTGACTCGACCTTTTGAAATTTTTTTGTAATTCTTTCTGTTTTTTCTCACCAAGAATGTTAGTTCGTTTTGACT